GCTAAAGGAGTTCAGCACCACTAAACCAGTGGTCGGCAAACTCATTAGTCAACAGAGCCAAGTATCAACAGTACAACGATTGAAATTTCTTTTGAGAGCCAAATTTTTTAAACTTAAACAATATAGGTAGGTACATTGTTATTAACTTAATTAGGGTACTCCTAAGGCTTAGGAAGAGCCACACTCAAGGGGCCAAAGAGCCGAATGTGGCTCGAGAGCTGCAGTTTGCCGACCACTGCACTAAACCATTATTACATGAAATGTTAAAGGGTCTTCTTTAAGAAGAAGGGGAAAAAGATAAAAAATATGAACAATAAAATGGCAATAAATACATATCTATCAACAATTAAATCTAAAAAACAAAATAAACAAACAAGCAGAACAGAAACAGACTCATAGACGCAGAGAACATTTTGACATTTGCCAGATGGGAGTAGGGAAGGAGATGGGTGAAAAAGTGAAGGGATTAAAAAGTACAAATTGGCCCTGACCGGTTTGGCTCAGTGGATAGAGCGTCAGCCTGCAGACTGAAAGGTCCCAGGTTCGATTCTGATCAAGGGCATGTACCTTGGTTGCAGGCACATCCCCAGTGGGAGGTGTGCAGGAGGCAGCTGATCGATGTTTCTCTCTCATCGATGTTTCTGACTCTCTGTCCCTCTCCCTTCCTCTCTGTAAAAAATCAATAAAATATATTTTTTTAAAAAAAGAAGTACAAATTGGTTATTGCAGAATAGTCATGGGGATGTAAAGTACAGCACAGGGAATGTAATCAATAATATTCTAATAACTATGTATGATGTCAAATAGGTTCGAGATTTATCAGGATGATCACCTAGTAAGTTATGTAATGTCTAATCACTGGGTGTACACCTGAAACTAATATAATAATGTATGTCAATTGTAATTGGAAAATAAAAAAAATAATTTTAAAAAAGACATCACCAAATAAACCACATTGATTGATAACAGACCCCTCTCTCCAAAATGAATCACCAGTAGGTACTTCTAAAACCATGAACAAATTTCCACAGTGTTGACCTAGTATGGACAAGAGCTCATCCATCTACACCCTACCATCTAGAGGCCTATGGTTCCAGAGCTGCCAGCCTGAGAACCAGTGCCCTAAGACGTGACCCTGCACATGGTAGCTGACTCTTCTGACAATGGACTGAGAGCAGGACAAGCAGACAGGGTTGGGAGGAGGAGGGAGACAAAACTAGGGTGGACGTCATTGGTTTGGCTTGCCATAGCAGAGACTGCGAGTTGTCCACCATAATCCATTCCCACATTCTGGCATAAAAGAGCATTAAGGTGAGAAGGCTGCATTTTCCTACCCCACCCCTGTGCCACATCCAGGCCAGCAGCTTCAGAGTGAGTGACCTTTCCACACCTGTACCAGACCTGGTGCCACCCTACCCAGGTCTCCAGAGCATTTGGTTCTATGTGCTGAAGGCTGCGTATGGCCCACCCGTCACGCTGCCCGAGAGCTTTTCCTGGCACAAGAAACATGCTAGGCCAGTGCACAGGGAAAGCTGGAAGGGACCAGAAATGAATGTCCCCAGTGCCAGCACCTCAACTAAATCCTCAAGGATGGGGAGGTAGTAGACAAATGGTTTCCTATGCCCCTCAAGTGGGGTTACTCTGAGGCAGGTCTGTACTGTCTCCCAGAGATCCCTGCAGTGATTAAGCTCCAGTTGTCCACAGCAGTAACTTCCTTGATTATCTTCCCTTTGTTGGCTGTCTTCCCTTCCCTGTCACACTTCCCCACTGCCCCGCAGAAGCTTCCTGGGATCACTCTCCAAAGCGATTGAGAACTTGAAACCTTGCCTTGGAGGAACTCAAACCAAGACAACTCTCCTACTGGCTGAAACTCAGAGACCCAGTTCAACCATGCCTATGCTGACAATGTCCTAGGCAGTGGTCAGCAAACCGTGGCTCGCGAGCCACATGCGGCTCTTTGGCCCCTTGAGTGTGGCTCTTCCACAAAATACCACGTGCAGGCGCGCACGTACAATGCGAAGTTGACTTAAAACTTTAAGTAAAGTTTATTAAGTTAATTTTAGGGAACGTTGTGGAGTGAAAGAAGATGTAGTGTCGAGGATTGAGAAAGGTATGTTGAGATGGTTTGGACATATAGAGAGGATGAACGAAAGGAGACAGACGAAACAAGTATACAAGACGAGTGTGGATGGGAGAGTTGGAAGGGGTCGACCTCAGTGAACGTACCTCAATCAGATTGAGGACGTTTTTAGCAAAGGCCAGCTTAGGAATACCCTAATTAAGTTAATAACAATGTACCTACCTATATAGTTTAAGTTTAAAAAATTTGGCTCTCAAAAGAAATTTCAATCGTACTGTTGATATTTGGCTCTGTTGACTAATGAGTTTGCCGACCACTGTCCTAGGGCATGGCAGAGCAACGAAGGAAAGAAGTTTGGGTCCCTGAGTGATAGCATGGAGGAGAGCCACCCATCAATCCAGGACTGCTGGGTGAGAAATGACCTCTTAAGAAAAAAAAAATAAAGTGACTTTCTCTCTTCTTTAAGCCACAGCACTTCTTAGGAATCTTTGTTACTACAGCCGTAGGTGTCTTAGCTAGTACACCTACTCAATATCCATTTCCTCTCTGGTCACTGCACCCTGCTTTTCTGCTGGGGAACCACTCCCAGGCCAGAGGTATAGCTGACCTGCTCTCTCTACCCCTGCTTCAGGGGAGGCAGGGGCATAAGACTCGGGCCTGGGGGAAAAGAGCCCCTATCTCCCCCAGCAGGATGACTGGCTCAGGGGCAGGCCCAAGAGCCAAACCAGGCCAATCAGAGACAAGAAGCATCAGCCCAAGAATGTTGGCTAAAAGACGAACCCTCCTTTCAGTGGGCTGCTGCACTGTGGGATAGAAGTCCAAGGGTGGGTGGTCATCTAGCTTCCACTTGAGCCTGCCTGAGAAAGAAGCCACCTGTGGGGAAACTGGGTAAAAGAAAGATGAAGGACGATGACTTGATTTAAGCACTTGTACTTACCATCCCTGAAGCAGGAACAACCCTAGACTTAGCTAATAGATCAGCATTCCTGTCAAAGACCTTTTAAGCTGAATTTCTATCACCTGCAACCAAAAGAGTTCTGCTTAGTAAAAATCTGACCCCAAAGAGAACATCACATCAGCTAGTTCACAATTCCTGTGCAAAACAGGCCACAGGCCGTTCTTCCAGCCAGAGCAATTTAGATATTTCCTTACAGGAATGTTCGTTTTGGTTTTTAAAATATATATTTTTTTATTGATTTCAGAGAGGAAGAGAGAGGGAGATAGAAACATCGATAATGAGAGAGAATTGGCTGCCTCCTGCACACCCCACACTGGAGATCAAGCCTGCAACTTGGGCATGTGCCCTGACCTGGAATCGAACCGTGACCTCCTGGCTCATAGATTGACACTCAAACACTGAGCCACCGCCGCCAGGCAGGAATGTTCCTTCTGTTGTCTAATGACCCAGAAAACTGAGGAAAGCAAACCAATTCTAGCCTCTCTCTCCTCTGTATCAAGTGTTAGGAGACACAACACAATGCTAACAATTTGCCCACTGGAGCCAGGGTTGAGCCTCAGTGCAGGCTGACCCTGGAGGTTGCACTTCATCCCATGGTGCTGCTGTGGGTCCCTTCCAATGGCCACCAGTTGCTGGCCTCTGCTGTCACCTCATCTGCTCACAGGTACAGAGAGCTGGCCCCCAGTTGTGCTCCGAGGATGGCTCCAGAGAACATGTGCGGCGACACGCAGGCCGTAGGTGCCCTGCAAAAGGGCAAATTTCCTTCCTTCTGAAAGAAAAGTGCTGATTTGGGAGAGAAGTGTCATGGGATATGCTACTAATACCGTCCAGATATTGGCATAATGGCTGGCCCACAGTGTGGAAGAGGAAAAGGTGAGGGAAGGTGGAAAAAAAGGAGGGAGAGGAAAAGGAAGGGAAGAAGAGAGGAAGGGGGACAATGGAAGAGGGAGGAAATAAGAAAATGGTCTCATCATCCAAATGTTTCCCTAGGCCAGTGGTCGGCAAACTCATTAGTCAACAGAGCCAAATATCAACAGTACAACGATTGAAATTTCTTTTGAGAGCCAAATTTTTAAAACTTAAACTATACAGGTAGGTACATTGTTATTAACTTAATTAGGGTACTCCTAAGGCTTAGGAAGAGCCACACTCAAGGGGCCAAAGAGCCGCATGTGGCTCGCGAGCCGGTTTGCCGACCACGGCCCTAGGCCATGGAGCGACCTGGTCCCCAGCAAGGTTTTCTTGATCTTCCAGGGTGGAAATGGACCTGAGGCATTCAGCCCAGGACAGGAGCAGGACAGCATGGTGCAGCTTCTGAACACGTCCCTCAGTGCAGGGAACTGGGGTAATTACCTCCCCTTGGCCTGGTGCCGCCCTTTTGCCCTATAATGGTCTCAAATTGGTTTATTGTTAACCTCCCAGGCCTCCTAGGGGAGCGGATGCAGGGAGCTAAAGGTCGCTGCCCTTAGCAGTCACCTGCTGCTGCTGCTGCTGCCCCTCCCACAAGAGCACTGTGCCTGCCAGTGAGCCTGCCTCACACTCCGTGCTTGCCACACATTGTCCCCAGTGCTGGATTCAAGGAAGGGAGAAGTGCCTTCATCCAACAATCCCAGTCCCAGAAAGTCAGAGGCTCAGAAAGTCAGTAGCCCCACAGCCACAAAAAGTGACCAAAGTCAGTTACCTACTGATTGGACCCCAGGCACCTCTGGCCACCAGTGAGGGAGTCAGAGGTTCAGTACTCTTAATAAGATTTGCCTCTTCAAACCCACCCATTGACACAAAATGATCAACCCCCAAATAACTTGAAGTTGAAGGTCACACAGTAAGCCTGAAGCAAGGAGCGACATAGCTCAACGCTCTCCTGTTTGGTTATTATAAGAAAAGTTTCAAGAGGACATTTCATGTATTAAAATAATTCCTATAAACTCTTTCAGGATAATAAAATTCATTTTTCTCACTTAGTAGCATTTCAAGTGGAAGTACTTTTATTTCAAGGCACCATAATATGATGGTCTCTCTAAGAACACATCTGCTTCCATGTATGAAAATCCTAAAAAACACACAAAAAGTTCTGCACGATGATCACAGCCACCTACCGATCAACTTTCCTTAACTTGAGTGTGTTCAACAGAGCATGGGTGACGGGGGACCTGACCACACTCATTACAACTGACAGCCTTGGAGCAGATCCCCCTGCCGAGGCCCCAAAAGGACAGAGAGATAAACTGAACACTTGTAATTAGAAAGAGCCAGGGGAACCCTCAAAACCAAAAGTCCATGTAAACGTGTCAGCATTGGCGTCTCCCCCTTCCTCCTCCTCACTTCTCTTCCTCCTCGCTCAGGTTGGCATTCCCCTGGAGTGCGGATGTCAGCTTGTTTTGCAACAGGGCTGCCAGTTTTTTGGATGTCTTTTTGAGAAACGCGCTGCCCGGGTGGGCACTGTTCACGTGCAGGTACAGGTCCTCCTGGGTGGGGCCTGTGTAGCCACAATCCTCACAGACGTAGAGCTTGTCCCGGCGTTGCTTGTAGGCATACTGCTGCTGCACCCCGTGGATTTTCTTCAGGTGGGACTCTAAGGAGCAGCGCTGGGTGAAGGCTTTGTTGCAGACGTCACATTTGTAGGGGCGAATGCCTGCAAGGGCAAGGGGCAGACACATCACAGGTTGGTCATGGCCAAGCCAGAGCCTTCCAACTAAAAAGCCATAAAACACCATCATGCACATCCAAACAGCAAATGACCTGATTCAAAACCAGGCACAGGAACTGAACAGACATTTTTCCAAAGAGGACATACAAATGGCCAACAGCACATGAAAAGGTGCTCAGCATCATTAATCATCAGGAAAATACACCTCACAACCACTATGAGATATTACCTCATACCTGCTACAATGGCTATTATAAGAAAGACAAGAGATAAGAAGTGTTGGCAGTCTTCACCGATACAGCTCCTAGGGCATTGGAAACTAAAAAGAAAGTAAACAAATGGGACTACATCAAAATAAAAAGCTTCTGCACAGCAAAAGAAACCATCAACAAAACAACAAGAAAGCCTACTGCATGGGAGAACATATTTGCCAATGTTATCACCAATAAGGGTTTAATCTCCAACATTTTTTTAAAAATATATTTTATTGATTTTTTACAGAGGGGAAGGGAGAGAGATAGAGAGTTAGAAACATCGATGAGAGAGAAACATCGATCAGCTACCTCCTGCACACCCGCTACTGGGGATGTGCCCGCAACCAAGGTACATGCCCTTGACTGGAATCGAACCTGGGACCCTTCAGTCCGCAGGCCGTCGCTCTATCCACTGAGCCAAACCGGTTAGGGCAAATCTCCAACATTTATAGGGAACTCATACAACTTAACAAAAGGAAGATAAACAATCCAATCAAAAAATGGGCAAAGGACCTAAATAGACACTTTTCAAAAAAGGACATTCAGAAAGCCAAGAGACATATGAAAACATGCTCAAAGTCACTAATCATCCGAGAAATGCAAATCAAAACAACAGTGAGGTACCATCTCACACCTGTCAGACTGGCTATCATCAACAAATCAACAAACGACAAGTGCTGAAGAGGATGTGGAGAAAAAGGAACACTTGTGCACTGCTGGTGGGAATGCAGACTGGTGCAGCCACTATGGAAGACAGTATGGAGTTTCCTCAAAAAACTAAAAATGGAACTCCCATTTGACCCTGTGATCCCACTTCTAGGAATATATCCCAAGAAAACAGAAATACCAATCAGAAAGGATATATGCACCCCTATGTTCATAGCAGCACAATTCACCATAGCTAAGATCTGGAAACAGCGTAAGTGCCTATCAGCAGATGAGTGGATTAAAAAACAGTGGTACATCTACACGATGGAATACTATGCTGCTGTAAAAAAGAAGGAACTCTTACCATTTGCAACAGCATGGATGGAACTGGAGAGCATTATGTGAAGTGAAATAAGCCAGTCAATGAAAGAAAAATACCAAATTATCTCACTCATTTATGGATAATTAAGACCATTATAAACTGATGAGCAAAAATAGATATAGACGCAGAGCAACATCGAACAGACTGTCAAACTATAGCGGGAAGGCTGGGGAGGGTTGCGGGGGTGGGTAAGAGATCAACCGAAGGACTTGTATGCATGCATATGAGCATAACCAATGGACACAAGACACTGGGGGGTAGGGGTATGGGAGGCTAGGGGAGGGTCAAGGGGAGGGGAAAAAAAGGAGACATATATAATACTCTTTGAAATACTTTAAGCAATAAAAAACAATTAAAAAAATAAAAACTTGAAAGCATAAAAAAAAGTGTTGGCAAGAATGTGGAGAAAAGGGAACCCTTGTGCACTGTTGGTGGGCTTGTAAATTGGCGCAGCTACTATGGAAAACAGTATGGAAGTTTCTCACAAGAGTAAAAATAGATCTACCAAAAGATCCAGCAACCCCACTTCTAGGACATATATCCAAATGAAATGAAAACAGGATCTCAGAGAGATATCTGCCCTCCCACATTCATGGCAGCATTAACCACAATAGCCAAGATATGGAGACAGCCTAAGTGTCCATCAATGAATGAACAGATAAAAAAGCCGTCATCTATTTATACAATGGAAGATTATTCAGCCACAAGAAAAAAGGGAATCCTTTGTCAAATTTTTTGACAACATGGATTGATCTTTAGGGCATTATGCTAAGTGAAATAAGCCAGACAGAGAAAGACAAATACAGCATTGGTATTACCTATATGTAGAAACGTTAAACCTACAGAAATAGAGTAGAAAAATGGTTGGTAGGGGATGGGGAGTGAGGGTAGAGAGAAAAGTCATCATGACCAAGGATTCAAAAGGAGGAAAATGGTTAAGGCAGGAGACAAAACTGTCCACAAAAGTTTACAACATCCACATGAACAAACGTAACCAAAATGGATGCAAATATAACAAACACACACCACCTGGCTTGGGGAGGAGGAGTTTCATTCTTCCTACTTGTACACCATTTTAATGTTTTGATTTTAGAGTGGGCAAAATAAACACTGTTTTTATCTTAGTTTGAGTTTTCCAGGAACCATACCCTGCGACAAAGATTTCTGTACCAGTTACTTGGGATGGGACTCCAGGAAGCTTCTGTAGGGGAGTGAAGAATTGAGACAGGGATACAGGAAGAAGCCCCTACAAGGTGGGGTCATCGAGCCAGCCCTTGCCGTGGGTACCAGAGTCCCATCGGCTAGGCAAGTTGGGAAACACTGCAGAACACTCACCTCTGAGTCACCTGCCCCCTGGGAGCCAGGTCTTTACCCACCAGCTCCAACAGCAGTGTTGAGGGCTGCCCTTGGGTCGATCTGAACTTCTGGCCTGTCTCACATAGGTAGAGTGGGCTCCAGCAACACAAGAACAGGGTGCAGGCGTGGGCAGTTGCTGCAAGGATGGGTATGCCCAGAAATGGCATGGGCTGGGGGCAAGGGCAAGACGCTTTTGGCAGCTGCTACAGTTATGAAAGCATTTCCACACTAGATCTCCTGCTGGCTTTAGAACTGGGTTGATATTAGTGGGGCTTGCCTTCCAAATGGAGAGTTCGCATGTGCCAAATATACCATGGAGCTCAGTCTTACCAGCGCACAGTCTCTGCTATTTCCACTATCAGTACTCAACTCAACCATGGGAGGTCGGATATCAGATCAAGAGACTTAAGTAAGGTTCTAACTTAGGCTCTAAAGTTGGGGATCCTAGCTGTAAAGTAAGCACAGTGTCACATAAGCATGAAGCCCTGGAGAGGGTGAATATTGTGTTTGGGGTACATGGAGCAGAGTGCGGGGGGGGGGGGGGCTGCTACCACAGTCAGACCATCCCAGAGCCCAGAGGTCAGGAGGGTCACGTCCTGGAGGAATCCTATTAGTCTCAGGCATAAAATTAAATGGTATCCCCAAAACTCATCTATCAAGTAAATATTTAAAAATCAAAACATAGAAAAAATACAGTATGATAAGTTATTAAAATTTTAAATAAGGACAGGATCCATCAATACCATGTGCAGCCACACTGGAACTTGAGGTGAAAGGAAAAACATGCACCCTATGCTATACACACACACACACACACACACACACACACACGTATATATACTACATATTTTTAAAATTAAATGTATTGAGGAACATTGGTTAATAATATTCTATAACTTCCAGATGTACAAGATTATAAATTGCTTATCTATGTATTCTAGTTTCCTGTCCTTTTTTTGTTTTGTTGTTAATCCTCACCCAAGGATACTTTTTCTATTGATTTTTTTTAGAGAGAGTGGAAGGGAGGGGGAGAGACAGAGAGACAGAAATATCAATGTGAGAGAGGGGCAGGGGATCGAGCCTACAGCTGAGGTACGTGCCCTTCAGTCTGCTGGCCGACACTTTAATCACTGAGCCAAACTGGCTAGGGCAGAAATTAGGATTTTTAAAGATTAAGAATTTAAATATGTGTAAAGATATAAAAATTAGTAATAGGTCTCTGGTTTCCTTTCTGTACCATATATTTGATCCATTTACCCACTTAGCCCTATCCCTCACCCTCTTTTTCTGGTAACTACCATTCTGTTGTTGTATCTATGAGTTTGTTTTGTTAGTTTGACTTTTTTGTTTTATATTCCACATGAATGAACTCATCCAGTTTTATTATTTTTAAGCTATTTTCCCCCATAATGTTTGAGTTGTTGAAAAATATTGAAAATAGATGTATTAAATGAAAATGAAAATACAACAACCCAAAATCTATGTGACACAGGAAAGCAGTCCTAACAGGGAAATTCATAGCAATACCAGCCTATATCAAGAAACAAGAAAAACCTCAAATAAACAATCTAACCTTACCTAAAGGAACCAGAAAAAGAACAATAAAGCCCAAAGTGAGTAGAAGGAAGGAAGTAATAAAGATCAAAGCAAAAATAAGTGAAATAGAGTCTAAAGTCAAATGAAGACATGACAACTGACACTACAGAAATACAATGGATTATAAGGAAATATTATGAACAGTTATATGCCAACAAATTGGACAATCTGGAATGGATAGATTCCTAAAAACATACAATCTCCTAAGATCAAATCAAGAAACAGAAAATCTGAACTGACTGATTACTACCAACATAATCAAATCAGTAATCAAAAACTCCCAACAGCGCCGAAACCGGTTTGGCTCAGTGGATAGAGCGTCGGCCTGCGGACTGAAAGGTCCCAGGTTCGATTCCGGTCAAGGGCATGTACCTGGGTTTCGGGCACATCCCCAGTGGGAGATGTGCAAGAGGCAGCTGATCGGTGTTTCTCTCTCATTGATGTTTCTAAATCTCTATCTCTCTCCCTTCCTCTCTGTAAAAAATCAATAAAATATATTTTTTTAAAAAAGAATTCCAACCTTTAAAAAAACAAACAAAAAAAAACTCCCAACAGCCCTGACCAGTTTGGCTCAGTGGCTAGAGTGTCGGCCTGTGGACTGAGGAGTCCCAGGTTCGATTCCGGTCAAGGGCATGCACCTTGGTTGCGGGCACATCCCCAGTAGGGGGTGTGCAGGAGGCAGCTGATGGATGTTTCTCTCTCATGGATGTTTCTAACTCTCTATCCCTCTCCCTACCTCTCTGTAAAAA